GTGTCGATTGCAACACAAGCAGTCATCATCAGGTGTGAAAACCACACGTGACTTTACCGAAATAACCAATAATATGAATCCCTGCAGTCACGAAAGCTTTAAATCGAAAACAAAATAAATGTTTACCATTTTTTGCTTTGTTCCTGCATTGCGCTGTGGTAAATCAAGAGATAGGTGCAATCGTGTGCTTCGTGGACATTTTCTAGGGATGACTGGGCACATGCAAACGTTCAGTACGTCAATTCTAGATTTGAAGCTTTCGTGACTGCAAGGATTCATACTCTTAGGTTTTTTCAGTAAAGTCACGAAGCCTGTGTTGGCTCCGAAACGTCGTGATTTATTATTTGATTTCTACTCTTAGGTTTTTTCGGTAAAGTCACGTAGGTAAAAAATTTAAATTAATAAAAGTAAAATAAAACAAATTAAAAAATTCACGACGTTTCGGAATCAACACAAGCCTCCAGTCTTCAGGTGGAACCGTCACAGCCACGACAGCTGTATCAAGTAAATGAGAGATCACAAGAAATACTACCCCGTATATATAATGGTTGAGGGGGGAAGGGCCAGGAACGGCACACTTTTTTATTAATATGGTAAGGTGAGGCTTAAGACCAAGAGTAGACTGCATAACAAAGGACTGAGCCTTTGTTATGATTTCTATTATTTCTTCTATTATTATTTATCTTTTAATATAAAGTTTATTATTTATTTATTTGTTACCTACGTGCCTTTACCGAAAAATCTAACAGTACAATTGAAACTGGGCTCTGCCAGTTCAGTACTGAGTTGTGGCCTAGCTGTGGCCAATTCCATGATGGCCTCTGTATCTCCATTCCAATAGCCATGAGGTTGCAACGGTGGCCCTGGCCCCTTCCGCTCTGTCCCCCTCCGCTCTGTCCCCCTCACCCCCAACTCTCCCTAGTCGACCATTTGCAGATGCGTAGAGCAGCAGGTCTGTAAGTGATTTTAAACATTTTTGAGGATAGGAGAGTCTCAAATGTAAAAAAAAAAACAATCTAGAGTTTTACTCTTAAACATTCCACATGTATTTATACCATTTAACAAAGCCATTGAATTTTGATTTAAAGCTTTCGTGACTGCAGGGATTCATATTCTTGGTTCTTGCTTGTGTTGCAGTCGAAACGTCGTGAGAATTTTATTGTTTTTATATCTTTATTATTTTATTATTTCCTTCTACGTGAACCAAGAATATAAAGTCATTGAAGTTGAACCAACTGGATGCCGTGACGCTCCGTCCCGCCTCTGCGCTGAACCTGTGACATCACGACTAATTCTGTGTTCGTCTCGGCTCTGAACATGCATCACCGATCAGGCAGAGAGCGCTGCGCCCAGAAATTTGAGCGTTCCATGGGATTTATTCGACCAGGCTGGGTTGCGTTGCAACACAAGCTCTTGAAACCAGCCAGGTGCGAGAATCGTTCCACTGCAGTTCCCACTAGCCGTGGAAACGGTGCGAAAGTGGATAAAGCCGAAATCCCACTTTTATTCCCATTTCCTGTTTAGTATTTACTTACAAATGGTGAAAATCCTATTATCTTCACAAGTTATCACCTAGCAGGATGTTATGTCTCCGGAAACATGTTGGGTGGGAACAGTGTTTTGCATGTACTGTAGAACCAGACAGGCCAGTACACCAGTGTTGTGAAAGGCAATAAATTAAAGCTTGTTGCGTGTCATATTCTCTTTTTGTCCTCTTCCGTGATTAACCTGATACTCCACCCTAACACACCATTATTAAACTTAACCCCCCTACCTTTCCATCGTTTAAATTATTACACTTCGCCCTCTCGGTCTGGGTACTCAAAACTATGTTTTTTTCTTTCTAAAATGTACCTGAGTAATCCTCAAGTGAGACTTCACTCTGTGCCTTGGCAGTGAGCCAGTCTAACCTAAATAATGTAGGGCACAATTGTCTAACAATACCTACTTGCCATTTTTTTCCCACCAGCCCCCTCCTCCCTCTTGTTCCAACTGCATCGCCAATTGCTGATCTGTCGATTGTTATGACATTTCCCTTGCTGTAATTGTTCTACAGTGTGTATTGTCCCTCGACTTTGCGTGATAATCATTGTTCAGGATAGTTGTGTGTAATTGTAAATATATGAGGGTCAAAGAGCCATATGATGGCCCTCTCGTGAGATGTGTAAGTAGAGCATGTGTGTTATTTGAGAGGGCATGTTATGATAACACCCTTTTCATCATCTCAAACGCACCTACGCACAGCTGAACCTGTACCACATGAATATGAACATATTATAAACAGACATGAAGATATCAAAATAGTTGTTAAAAACTATCAAAAAGTCAAATGTTTTAAAATTTGCAGTGAAAGAAACTTGTACTTTTAAGGGTGCGTTTAATCAATTTTAAAATGTTAGGTGTTAAGACATATTAGAAAAGCATATTTAAATAACAAAAAGTTCACGCAACTTCCTTATTGCACAATGATACAGATCATCTTTATTAAACAGGTGAAATACAATTAATAACAAATCTCTTGCGAGGAAGTACCAAGTAGAAACAAATCTGTAACAACCAACACAGGAACGTATGTGGTGGTGTCTACAGGATGAGAAGACAAAAATATAGCAATATGATTAGTTTATACAATGGGTTTGTATTCTTGGGTTTTTTCGGTAAAGTTGATACAGCGAGCGTGCTGTGACGGTTCCACCTGAAGACGGAGGCTTGTGTTGCCTCCGAAACGTCGTGATTTTTTTGGTTTTTACCTACGTGACTTTACCGAAAAAACCCAAGAATATGAATCCTTGCAGTCACGAAAGCTTCAAATCTAGAATGGGTCCGTATTTCCTTACGTGGAAGCTTTCATTGGGCTAAGTTTAATCACTGATATGTTGGTGTACTCATAAACGTAGCTCGTGGCACACTTGTACAACTGTCTTATTATAACAATGGTCAGACCTCTTAGTGGCATGCAAATCTATCGGCCACACGTATCAACATAAGACGACTCGCGCGTTATTTTTACACAAACACCTTAGTAAAGTTAGGTGGTGGAAGTTTACATTCCAAGAAACACCAGCCTTCATCAATCAGCATTCACCAATGAGTGGAGATCATCGATCACATTTATTGCTCATTGTACAACATTACAAGAGGCGTTTAAACATTATCGAGTATGTAGTTAGCTTTGGCAGATTTGTACAGTTCGTTAAAAACCTTATACAGTACCTCTTTGACCTATTGGCGTATTGAGTCTGAGCGCGCACTCGAGTTTACTTTCCAGGAGCCTGAAACGAAGCTAACGATGCCATTTTTGGCTTCCGTCTTGACTTTATGAAATTCCTCCATGGTGGCGGAGAGGAGAGTGCAGGATTTTGATGGGAGTAAAAACGCTACGTGTCGATGCTGGTGGTGGTGGTGGGGGGGTTCAGCGAATGGGGAGGTAGGAAGCCCTGTGGCTCTGTAGAGGATGGGTGTGGGTCGCTTTGGGGGGGGGGGTTGACCTTGGATTCTGGGCTGGCTTGCAGAGCACACAAGTGGCTGATAAACAAAGCCACGGTGTTTACACAGCTTCGGGTTTTTCCATTGCCCCCACCTTCGTGCTGTGTGGGTCACCTGCTTGCCTGATGGCAGTTAAGCTTTATGTACCGTATCTCTGCCGCATCTGTGGATTGTGTGCGCGTCAGCGTGTCCTGTGTGCTTGTGTGTGTATACTGTCCAGTGTCGCATGGGATACCCGATTCGTTCAAGACGCTGACAATGCTTCAAATGTTTTTGTAATCGCAAAAAAATAACGTGCACTTTGCCGTACATGTTTTTATTTACTTTTAAAGTCTGCCTGTAAAGTTTCAGTATTATCTCCTTATATGCATGGGTGTTCTTCAAGGGACTGGTTTCCTCCCATAGGAAAAGAAATACTCAAAGGAATTGGCATCAATCACATCGCTAGCACGACCATACTATCAAAGTAAGAGAAAACCCAGGGAATCTATCATTGGTTAAATAATGAAATATATGCATTCTAACCTTTCCTAAATAATTACAATTTTGAGTGGAGGTATGCTATTTATACAACTTATCATCAAAGTGCGATTACACTGTTTATGATTGCGAGTTTGAATTTAAATTCTGAAATTTTGCCTCCAGCTTGTGTAAACATACGATGTGTTGGAATTTATTAAGCAGCAAATGTTACTTGCCATGTTCAAAGCCTCTCATGCTACATGTCTTTTAGTCTTTCACAATTGTTTACGTGTTTTTGCCTTCATGTTTTATGGGGGGGGGGGGGGGAAATAACCTGCATTTTTTATAAGTACATAAAGTGTTTCTGACAATGCACTAAGCAAATGGTATCACCTATTCGTTGTTTTTTTTTTGCAGAGGTTTAAAACAAGCTTCAACGTTTATAGCTGCAGCTGAAAGGGCGAAACTTTAACTAGGCCTAATTGCATGACAAGATGACGAGGACAAAGTTTGATATTGTGGTATCAATCCTCTCCTGTAATCATTGACATTTTGGGTTATTTTTATTTTAAAACTCAGCATTCTCAAGCGGATTGAGAAACTTACGAGCATCAGCATGCTATAAACTTGTTCTTCACAATGGTGCTTTCAGCGCCTGCTATCTCACAGTAACATATTTATCATCTTGCAGCTCGATGTTTTGACCCGCTGGTCTGTGGCTGGATAACAGGCCTCAAATGGTATTATCTACAGCTTCAGTTTCTGCTGACTGACAGGACCAACACCGTGATTTGCCCTCATTTGTGTACCCACAGGATGTGGATTACAACTGTCCTGCTAAAATACGTAAACATATTGGGAGTGGAGATTGAGCGAAGTAATTTTGCTCGACAAATAGCTACCTGCTGTGTATGCACAGGGCTTGTATTTTAGATAACAATTGCAATCTGAGTTTACTTCAGTAATCTACAACCCCATGGTAAGGTTTGAAGAAGTCTTTGTTCCTCCTATTATGCTTTTCTGACTGACCAGAACTGCCCTTTGTCCCCCAGGTGGTGCTCACCAATCAGATTACAACGCGGTTCAAAGGTCGATCTGGCTCTCATGCAGTGAATGAAGGTAAAACACGTAAAGAAAATAAAGGCAACGTGAAACCCTCCTGATTATATTATTAAACGCAGAGTCATTTAATTCACCCGCAGTGCATATATTTGTTTACATTTGCTTGCCAAGTGAATGTTTTGTGTTGTTTTCACGGGGACCCGAGGAGGTTTTTGCGTCACAGTTGGGTTTCCTGCAGGGGCTCGGAAGGGTTTTCTCTGGCACTTGCTTGCGTTTCCGACTATTATCCCCTCACACGCGAACTTTCAGCTACGGGAAGCGTGCCGGTTTGCGCTTGGCATTTCCCAAACGTACACGCAGGCAACACGGATGCACTGAAACACAGTGAAACAAACACATGCACTCAATTCAAACAGACTTGTGACTATACATGTACTGTATACACATTCATGCTGACACCCTTTAAAATTGGAAATGCTGACATTGCATGTATAGTTTCTAAAAATAACTACAAGCTAAAGGCATATGGTATTTGTACATATAATTATATTTAGACAAATATTTCTAAATACACTCAGAAAACTCACAGTGACTGTGGTAATAAGGTGAGGCAACACGTGTCAATAAAATGAAGCGGCAAATGTGTGTGTGTACATTCAAGGGGGTTTGGGGCCGTGGTGGCGAGATGTTAACTACCTTCGCCTGGTATACAGGTGGTTGTGGGTTCGATCCCGATCCTGACGCCTGTATATTTGGAATTTGCATGCTCTCCCCGTGGTCGCGTGGAGTTTTATCCGGGTCCTCCGGTTTTTCCCTCCACATTCAGAAACATGCTTTTAGAGTATTTGGCTGTTATACATTTCAACGTGATAAGCCACTTTTGTTGAGCTATCATTTGTGGCCAGATCGCTTCTGAAAAAGAGCTTTTTAGCTCAGTGGGCCTTACCTGGTAAGATAAAACATAATTTTAAGAGTTTAGTTTAGGTTGGAGGTCTTTGAGACCTCAAGTTTCCTTTGCTCTGGTGACTAGGGTGGCAATGTATGCCCATATAGTCATGTGCAGTTGGATAAAATAACATTACGAAAAAGCATACTTATTTTTTGAGCTTAGACACTGTACAACTACATTTCACTGGTCTGGCCAGCTAATGTACCTCGTGAGCCAACCAGGCAGTCAAAATATATTGTCTTCTTCCCCCGATCAAAAATAAGTATGATGCCAATACAGTTGAACACAATTTGATGGATTTAAGTAAAATGCATTAATCTCACTTGTGAATGTGCACGTCAATCATATAGCTGCGGTTACCTCTGTCGGGATGCATCGCAGCCTGCGTTTTGCAGGATTTGACCCACAATCTTTGACCAAAGGGCCTGTTGACTCACGGAGCAGACACAATATGGAGGGGCAGCCCCAAAACAAACACTCTGGCACAACTGACGATAACGAGCGCCTTCAATGTAGTTGGTTCAGATTGTGTATTGGCACCTGTGTTATAAACTTTGCTTGTTAAGTTGTTTACCAAATGCCCAAAGATATCTAATGCGAACTTGTTTGAACTGAACTAAGTCCTTGCCTAAAACCTCAATGTATTTCACGGGAAGAAACCTCTCTTTCCACAGTGACAAAGGGAATTAGCCGAGAAAAACCCCTTCGTCTTTTTGATTTGTCACTGTGTGACATTTGCATAGTCTGGGCTGCGGACTGTCAACAAAGACAAATCCAACGTGGGAATGAACCACGAAACAGAAATAATATGAATCCTGTATATTATCATGCCCCAGAGGCAGTCCTGTATTTCACGGAGATGCAATCAACCATCTATGACACGTAACATGGCATCTTGTCCGTGTAGCTGGCGAGAAGGAGATGTCTGGCGACGGCTATGTGACTGCAGCCCTGGGCAACACGTGGAGTCACTGTGTGAACACTCGACTCATCCTGCAATACCTGGACACGCGGCGCAGGCAGGTGATGACAACCGTGACGTCGCAGGCCTTCCTAGCTGCTGTGTGTCAAACGGCTTGTGAACACCAAAACATGAAATCGAACACAAAGTATTCAATGAAGAAAGTGAAACGGCCTCACTGTGTAATGGGGTGCAGCGAAAACTGTTATGGAGTACAGCACACTTGCCACCTCTTAAGCCAATCTGTAATCTTAATAAACTAGCCAACCGTAAGACTAACCACACTAGCCAACCAGCCCCTACCACTCGCCATATCTCTGGCCCTAACCTGAATCCTGGTATCACCTCATCACCTCACTTTTCACTTTTGGTGTTCACCTTCCATCTATTATTCTGCATAAAATACTGTCCATGTGTTTATTATGTACATAACCAGAGGGCATAATGAATTATTGTAAATCTCAAGAGATGTTTATTCATAACTCAGAATGAGGAGTTAAGGTTTTGCATAGTCATACCTTATTTTAACAATATTAAACAGCTCATTGGATCATCATGTTTTAGTTCTTGCAGCTTTGCCCAACCCCTACATCCCATTCAATTGGTTTACTGCATCACCTCCACTGCGGGGCATATAACACCACGTCTTATTATAATATTGTTATAATACATATTAATGACACACACACACACGTATTTAAATCCACTGCTGAACTAATGTATTTTATCTTGTATGCTTGAGCATACATACATTTTTAATGGTAATTATTGTCAAAGAGAAAAACATGTTTTTTTAAATTATTTGTTGATGCTGCATTGGCAGTGGTGCACAAATACAATTAACGTATGTATTGTTGGTAGTATATATATACTAGTATACGACATTAGGTCATCGACTCCTTTGATACCGTAATAATTTAATTTAACGGTGATATATTGCATAGTCCATGAATAGTATGTTTCCAGCTTCATATTTCATTAAAATGTTAATCAAATTACATATTACCATTTGGATTTCTTGAAACCTGGGCATAAAGCTTAGGGTTAGTGATGTTATTGTGCATATGGCTGCTGTGTGCATACATCTTCACAGCGCGTGTTCTGAAGCAGAATTAAGTAGCATTCACTACTGGGCGAAACAGTTCTTATGCAGCTTACATGGCCGCCTTTTTAAAAAACCATTTTCCAATAAAAAATAGTCTCCTTTAATAACAAGACATCCTGAGCTGGCTTCTGCAGTTTCAGCTGATGTGGATCAGGCTTGCTGTGTGATTGTTATTGTTTTTACTGACTAAAAGGAGAGACTTTCAGACAGAAAAACATTTTTCCACTCTTCTCACTCCTTGCCCCCCTCAAGGCTGACAACTGAATAAACACACTGATGAGAACCACCTGTGTTGCTGGTAGGCATGGGTGCAACATCTTCCAGTGTTACATTGGTGAAATATTTGTCTTTTAAAAGCGTTTGTGAAGCCCACTGGGGTGATAGTCGCACAGTCGTAAGGGTATTGTTTATGACGAAAAGTAAAACTACTGTAGCCACCTTTTAAAGGTAAAGCAGAATCGATGCAGGATTTCATGGCCTTGCTTCATTTACAATTTTTTCAAGAAACAAGTCACATGACCAAAGCTTATTCATGTATTGAATTTGTGACTCATTGTACCTGGCTTGGGCACGAGTCATTCCTGAATTTATTTCAAGCAACGCTGTGGTACGGGGGTGCACTGATGGCCAGCTTAACATTTTTGCGAATGAAAAATATTTCCGCAAATATTTGCACGTAAAGATCCAATAAAAATTCACGTTTTCTGTCATGGTGCAATGTGGCACAAGGATGCTGACACACGTCCAAAAATGGTGCCCCTAAGGTATGTGGTATAAATACAGCGGAGAGGGGACAATGTTTCACAGGTTGATGGTCTGTGTTGACACATCACGGGATTAGGGAAAAATGGAGTAAAACAATGATTACAAGGTGCGAGTGCGGGGCATGGTTAGAGGGTGTTGTACGGATGTCCCAGGCAACGTAGGAAAGTGCAGTCCACCACCAATGGTATTCATGTTCTGACTCTCTTAATCAGTGTGTCCTTAACGGCGGTAGTGTTTTAGTTGTTTCCGGGAAATTGTTGAATTAAGTTAAATTGTGTGCGTACTGTACACACGTTTCACTTTTGGTAACCTGAGAAATTTATATTTTTTGGAAGGGTAATGTTTCTGCATATAAATAAACATAGGCTTGTGTTACATTGCGCGCAAGAGTTGGTATACTTTTCAGCAATTTATGGACCATGATAGACTCCATTGTATACATTACTGCTAATTCGACGTGCAAAATGTGCATTCGTAACAAGGGAAGACGGCAATAAAGCAATACCGCGCTTAGATAACCTTATCAAACAAGGTAATGGGTAACAGCCTTGACTTGTATACAAGACTTTGTCACCCTATACCCCCTCGCAACGCGCACACCGCGCTCGCAAGAGAAGAACGTGGCTGACTTTCGGCCATCCCTTTTTATTAACGGAGAGAAATAATGCCGTGGACACGTTGCGTAATCACCGAATAATATTAAAAGCAACCTGCCATCTGCGGGCACACACGATCGGAGAGGCGGGTTTATTCTCCCGAATGGGCCCGGCTCCAGAGCTCGGCCGTTGAGAGCAGTTGGGCCGCCTGGAGCCACATGGGCTCAACAACAATGGGTTGCTTCCCCATCCCCCTCCTAACCAGCCTCCACCACCCACCCCCATCCGCAGGTCTCCACCCACACGTGGTTTTTTTTAATCCACTTTCCCGCCAATTTCCAGCTCCGGCTCGTGTGAATTTTGACCCCCCGATTGTCAGTTATCCTTGACCCAGAATTTGCATGAATTCTCAAAGGCTGTCAACTGCAAACATCTCCCGGTTTTGTTTGAGAGCAGATGAGCAAGTAGGTATTATTCGTGCCGGTAATCATTTTAAAACAACTGGAAATTTAACACCCGTTATTAGTTACAATGAATAGCCGATTACAATTGTTTGAAGAGTATTAAGTGTTAATGCAATTATTCTTTTTGCCTATGTACGTGTCTGTGTTTGTGATAAAAACAAGACATTGTTAGCCCAATAGATGCTTTTGTAGCCTGGTATGGGGAAGAAGAAAAAAAAAACCCTATCCACGCGATGACATTGAACACACAAGTGATAGCAAGCTTAGTGAAAAGGTTGTGGTGTTAAAACATTTGAGTGTTTCTTATTGCATTAAATCAACATTCATAGCTCAACTCATACAGCTCTCAGGCTGTGAACGTTGACACATTTAGAAACAGCCCCTGCGTGTTTGCCAGGGCGACCACACGCAATGTTTCCTGCCCAAGGACACCCAGCGGGGGGTGATGAACCACCCTCTATAGCTTCACTCATGACTACTGGCACCATTCTTTACCCCCCCCCCCCCCCCCCCCCCAGTGACATGAATTGGGAGCCAAACATCCCATGCTACCCCTGTCTTGGGAATTCAGCATTGACCGCAGTAGAGCGCTAAGTTTAATACCTTTTAAAAAAATACTATTACTTTGCTTTCAAAAAGCTTTTTTTAAACTCCCTGTTCCAATCTAATATGCACCCTGAATAGCAGTCCAGTTGCTTCATGAAGATTGTGCTTTACGTGGGATTAACACTGCATATTTTTTTTTCTTCCATACCAATGCAATTCAGTGTCCTATTGCAGTGTAGTATTTACTCTAAAAATATCTGAGGTTAAAATTACGTACGTTATATTTTTTTTATTTTCGTAATTGACCATAAATCGTTTTGGTTTGTTACGTATGGGGTAGGGTTTTTTTTAAGCTTTTCACCTGTGGTATTAGCAATGTCCGTTTGGGATTCTTTTCTGTGAAATCTCGAGTCTGGCTTGACCAGGAATCTACATGAGTTAACCCCAAAAAATAAATGTTGTGCACTATTGACCAAAATATATTTGGCATATCACTAAAATACATGCAAAACGGTTTTTGAACATTCTGAAGCCATTGTGCCATACTGATTTGTGCAATAATTCTCTCCACTGTTATTATTGAGATATCGCCCAAGTTTGTTACACGTACAATGATAAAGAATTATTTATAATTGTATAAAACATGTGTGATATCTGGGTCAAACCCAAGGCGGTTGGTCAGCAGTTGTTGACGTATGTCGTATATTTTTGTCCATCTGGCCCCTCTAATCATTCCCAACTGATCGCCAGTTGGCGGTCGTGGCCTGTCTGTCCCGCACCCCTCCCTGGAGACTGCCGTTTAAATGCCCTTCACCAACTTTCGAGCATGATCCCTCCAACCCTCTTTTCATGTCACACTCATCGGTGATGCCATATACACGCATCGGTAACTTTGTTTTGTATTTATGTCCGGTGAAATTTATATTAGAAGCAAGAGCATTCGGTGCAGTAATTCACAGGGTGCATTGTTTGGGGCATCCGTTTGTTATATTCATGTGTCCACGGTGACACGTGTTGCAGAATCGGATGTAGAAAGCCAGTCGAGGATGCAATAAAGATGCATTTATCACTTTTCAAATTAAACTACTTTTTAGGAGGCTCAGCTAAGATGCGTCATCTTATTTATGGATTATTTATATTGTGGCTTATTTATATATATATTTTTTAAAGTTATCTTTATGACATTGTCTTATACATTAAAACGAAATGCAAGTTAGGACAGCCTTAATCTACTAAGCTGATGATACAATGTGTATTTTGTATCATCGGCTTCTCAACTCTGTAATGCCATACCAGCATTCTTTAAGTCAGAATAACAAAAAAAAGAACTGCACTTAAGTCAGCCAAATAAAAGTGGGTCCAGTAAAAGAATCTGCAGGATACAAGTTCTTTGCTGTGCCCGGCTCTCATAGTTATGTCTATTTGTGCCCTCTCATTGGCAATGAAGCATCGTGGCCAAATCCTTAATACTTCATCAGATTGATTTAGAGAACAAATGTTGTCCCATGGTGTTGTGATTACAGTAAAATGTTCACTTCCTAATATACAGTATATCTTATGACGAGATATAATGTCTCTATTTTTGTTAATAGATTATGGGGTTTAAGCAGGCAACTATTCATTAGCATGCAAAGTGTTCTAGGAAACCCTTAATCCAAGTACTGAAATATAAATTGCTAATGAGTACACACATGCACCTGGGAATAATTTACCATTACTTGTGCTTTCATTTTATGTAAAATCAGTGCTATCAGTGTCAGCATTCCACGTTTTTAAAAATCGTTTATTGTGATTATCTGAAGTTTGTGAAATGTATGACGGCACCCTGTGGCCGCAGAAGTTGCCAGCGTTTAGAATATATGAATCAACATTCCCCAACGGTTGCATTCAATCACGGCAGCTTCGGCAGAAGCATAAAACTGGGGGGAGGAATGTTGGCAGTAAGTAAGCATGTGTGAAAGTTTAGCGCGGACCAAAAGATTCCAGATCTTCAGCTGGTTTACATTACTCGATAGACCACACCCTTTTGAAATTACCACATGGAATTTTATTTACGCAAAAGACTTGATACGTGTTGTCGTGTTATCCAAAATACATTCAAATGTGCCTGCTATAGTGTAATGCTTTCCAGCGCTGCAAAATTATATTACATTAAAAGTATCAATTCTGTAACGTTTAAGCTATACACACTTAGTTTTGCATGTCTATCAGAACTGCTTCACATTCGTTGTGCAATATAGCTTTGACAATAACATGTTCTGATCATCTTATTGCAGCACATTAACATTTGTAAAAGAAATCCAGCGAAGTCCATTAATATAAGAATATGTTGAGTGTGCTTGTATTCTCTCGTTTACACCCCCCCCCCCCCCCAGATTTTGATAGCGAAATCACCATTGGCTTCCTTTTCTGGATTTGTTTACTCCATTCAAGGCTCGGGACTTGTGTTGGAAGGTAAGATATTTTTGTTACTCGGACCACAATGTTCAAGTGTGTACTGAACAAACCTTGTTCTGTTTGTTCACTTTACAATGAGATTATTGAAATTGCCTTCTCATGGTTTTGCATTTCATATTGATTGGCCATCATCCTCTGTCAGTTCTTTCTTTGTTCGGGATATTTCTAAGTTGAGTTCATGTTATCTTCCATCACTATCATTCTCCAATCGTTATCTAAAACCCTTCCCCCACATCCTCATCAAGTTCCGGCACTCCCCCTCTTGTGCCGCTTTAGTTTTGGGCTTTGCGGCCCTCGCCGAAGAGCTCCGTTTTTGCCTCTCCGCGCTCTGCCGTGCAGGTCAAGCGGTGGTATTCAAATGAGGTTGGGATAGAGCCTCTTGTGCAGTTTTCCCCTTATTTAAATTGCCTGGCTTTGTCACTGGTCAGCGGAATAGCCTGTTGAATAAACAAAGAAAGAGCCCCCCCCTCCCCCCTTGATGGCGGAGGAACGCCGGATCAGCGGACACAAAAGGAACCCCAAAATGACACTTTAACAAACTTCACAATGGGGGGGGGGGGTGACCTTTATTAACCCTTTCAATGCCAGGAAGCAAACATTTTAAGCAGGGTAGTTTGGGATAAGTCTGCCTCAGTCACAATACCACCGTAAATTGTGTAATAAAAATGAGAACTTTATAGCCTTTTCCTTTTCTGGTTTTGTTAATATACTAGCCTCCGTAGGGGGAAGAGGCTTTGACCAATTCATCCCATTGTTTGTCAAGGCCAGCCACTGAATCCAGAGGCCTGCGCATTACACAGTGCTAAGTAATTTAGCAGAAAATTCATTTTTTTGAAAGGTTGAAGAAAAATAACCATACACAATTCAGCATAAAGCAACATTAGATGCCAATGCAGGAGTAAGTAGCTGCTCGGTTGACGTTGATTGGTATGCTTTACATTTTTGTTGAAGCTGCACCTTCATTATTTTTATTAAGCAAGGCCAAAAGTGCGGCGAGTTGCCATACTATTTTGTTGCGTAAGTTGATTTAAACACGTTTTTTTGTATCCCCATATTATTAGGTAAAAATAAAACATGGTCATCTAAAGGGTGCTCTAACATGGTCGTCCATCGGTTGTGGTGCATTTGCCAAGCTTAACATAGTTCAACGTCGTTATGAAATCTGTTTACAGATATTTGGTTAATTTTCTGCAGCTGTGTTGAAACTTGATCATTTCGAACGTTGAATTTATACGCATAACTAAATATGAATTTCTAGTCTGTGCACCAACATTCACGCATGTGTTCATGTTAGGTGCAGCATATTTAATGGATTTTAAAAATATATATGACTATTCATCACCAGAAATATGTTTGTAATATGATCATTTAATTCACCCTTACTGCCAACAAATGGAGATTTAACAAAAAAAAAACCTCCTTTCTACCTCTTTGATTTTCCTGTCTTTGTGTGGCTTGTATTCTGTTCAAATCATTTAGCTCTTGCCGGCTGAATGAAATTTCCATTTTTTCATTCAGTTGCACTTCCAGAATTCCACTCCACTTGCTGAGGCGGCTCAACACACAATGTAGCCCCTGCATGGCCTTTCTTAACTCCCAGCAAGGATTCTGTGCAATCACAGCAGATCCCGGATTTCTTGTTATATAAAAAAATATATATGTTATACACGCATACTAGTGCTGTATGCACAAAGACATACACAGGGTAAAATTAATGTTAAGTTCAATGCGTACCCTTTCTCATTACATGACAAAAAAAAAACCGGTGCAGCATACTGTGTCATACAATGACTCGCCTTTATTACAATATAATTAACATTTTTTGAAAAGTTCCAAACTCACCTTATAGTGGTGCCAAGACCCAAGCGGGGGATGCAGTTGCCAAACACTTTTAATGGGGCCTGTGAGCAGTGCCTGGGAGAGTGGAACGCATGACCCACCCACCCAGAGCAGACATTCACACCACAAGGCCACAGGGTTGGCCTCACGTGTGTCCACGCGGTTTGTTATTCAGTCTCAGCCAAAAAACATCCGAGCCTCAATTTAATTGCCAGTTCCGGCCTGGATGCTTTAACAGACGTGCTTTTGTGCACAATTCTTGGGATCAATTGAAGTCTGCGTAAAGAGGGCTCATTCTGCTCATTATTGCAGTTTGCATTGGCTTTTTATGCTGGTAAAAATCTAGATCATTACCTCTCTTGGATTATGCTAATTAGACAACTCTCCTTGCATCATTCAGGATGTCATATACACAAGTTCTAAAATTCACAATTGAACAACACTGTACTTTGGTGCCAAAATTGTTTACGAAACATTCTTCTGCTTTCACGGTATCCCTGCAAGTTTTCGTTGTAAAATGTTTTCAGATTATGTCGTTAAGAAATCTGCTTTTCTTGTGGAGATCAGCTTGAAGGACAAGTTTTTTTGTTTGTTGGAATTGTATTGTTAAAGCTCCATTAATCCCTCCTTAAGGGTCCTGAGGAAGCATTTTATTGAGTTTGCTGGACTTAGTTCAGAGTAAAAGGACTTGTGGGTTTGTATTGACATGAAAATCCCTTTCCACTCTCCCATCTGTGCATGGAATTGAACTATGTTTGGCCTGATTTACCAGGCTTTTGTACAGAAATACCTGCACTCCTTATCACATGTCCAACTTCAACATTAAAGCTTCCTATTTGTTTTGTATGCATGCTGGATTATATGGCTATTTAGTTTTTTGCTTTTTCACGTAATCTTGTGATTCTCATCACACTACTTCCTTTTCATCCTTTTTTATGTACTTTTTGTGAGCAGTACATAAAACAAAGTTGGATGTAATCCTAGATGAATTGGCACTGCTGTTAAGGCAGATCTGATTTCTTTTAAAAGCCAGTGGCTTGTATTTTTAATCCACAAGTGTTTTCAGTATTCAAGTACACAGAGTGGTGTTTAAAGGGTCGGAATGTTGTTTATTGGTAAAAACTATAAACTAAAAATATCCATTCAGATGACCTTTTATAAACTACGCTCATGAGTAGAAACAATTGTAAAGAAATATATTTTTTCCCCAATTTTTTAAATCTCTTCTGAAACTGTATTTCATATTTCAACAATGCTATTGATTTCCATCTTCTTTTGCACGGTGTTCACTTGGCTTTTGAGACTCATATTTACAGCTTTAAGTTATGTTAAGCATCTAGTTAATAAGCAGGTACATTATTCGGCGATTAAGTCCAACGCTGAAATCTGCAACAAGCAATATAACTGACCCTCGCTCTGCACTGGGGCGGGATACTTTCTCAGACAAGGCCATGCGGACGGAATCCGTGCAGAGGGAACCCAGTTTGACAGAATAAACGGGGGGGGGGGGGGGAGGGTTATGTTCCAAACCCCTTCAAGCCCCCTTCCCCATACCCAATATTTTCACTCCTTACATTCAAAACTCAAACAGGGAATTATAAAATGCTGTATAATTCTGCAACGTAAAACTCTACATGAGTATTATACTCACCAATAGAGTACGATACTCACTAAAATATGGTGAAATACACTGTACCAGTGGCTAGGGCAGAGTCTGGACTACAAATTTAGTTCAAGTAGAGTTTCGTAAACAGAAATGTTTTTCTAGATAAAGGAGGGAGAAACGAGGCGGCAGCCCTCCGAGGCGCATCGTGCGCGAGTGCACGTGTCATTGTCTTCCGAACTCAACGGCTCCCCGTCCACAGCCAATCAGCGCGCGGCTGTTGCAGAATCCACGTGGATAGGAGTGGTCTGTTGCAGCGTGTGGAGTCTGGGCACGGCCTGGTGAGCACATCGTGCTTTTGCAATCCCCGTGTGCAGCTGCGAACCGCACTCCCATGCTTTCTGAATTTTGGTCGTGACAAAAAATACCGTGCTGCTGCGGATCTGTGCAGAGTAAGGGTCATATGTACTTCGCCTCGAAATGAGAGGGCGTCTTTACTAGTCTTGTCGCAAGTATTTGAAATTATCAGTCGAAAACCCTGGCGAATGTCTGTATTGTTTGTCTGCATATATTTTTGTGTTCCTCTACTCGTGCTTCCATGCGTTTTTCTTGCTTGTTCATGTTTTGTTTTGTGTGTACCGAAACCAGTAAGACTATTTCAGGCCCAGCTTTGTGGTTAGATGGGTTGGATGGATGAGACAGCTGAGATTCCATCTTAACTGCCCTTCCAGTCTTATTACGCGCATTTGCATGTGCCGAGGGTATGCAAGCGAGGCATGCGAATGTGCCGCTTGCGTCTCGGCAGCATGGTCACACTTCTTCGACCATGTGCGTGCCAGTGCAGCGCGCCAGCCTTCATCTTCTGTCCTGCGAGGCAGAAACGAGCCGTCAAAGAAACACAAATGCTCCTCTGTTTTAATAACAGCTGCGGAATTCAAGTTTTTGCTGCCAGTTTCATTGGCTGTCATCTGCTGAGCCCTCTCCTTGCTGTCAATCGTGTCGCCGCTGCTCATGAGCAACACATTTCACAGGCCTTCATATTGCACGTAAACACATGGGATACTTTCACATGTGCACGCACACAAGGTTATGCGGCGCACGCTTTTATAAAGTCTCTCAAGCGCCGTCACATGCGCCTATGAGCGGGGTACGCATGCTCAGCACAGCGCTGCCTTTGTCTCGTGCATTGTTGCCGCAGTTGCTTTACTTAGTGGTACGTAAAGTGCTTCAGTGGTTCAGCCACGTATGCTTACATTAATGCATTTGGATTGTTACTACGCAGCTAATCCCTGGCTGACCATGTGCGCCGGGGTCAAACTTAACCCACTGCAGGCCACGCCATTGGCAGGGTAGCGCGTCAGTCAGCCTAGCGGCCCTCATTCTGCACCCCCCCCCACCGCCCTCTCTCAGCATCAATTATTCTTTGTTTTTTCCTGGCTTTGCAAAACAACCAGGCAGCCAACTGTTGGTGATCCATCTGATGTTCCTGCTGGAGCGTAGTAGAGAAAGGAAGGCATGGCACGACTGTGCCAGTGCCATTTTTTCCACAGATGCT